GATGCGGTCTGTCGGTTTCAGAAAAACATTTTCTTTATCGTGCCAACGTTTCGATCTTTATTGAGATCATCTTCAGGGCTCAAAGTGTTTGTCTTCTGTGTAATNGAAATCGTGAGATGCGGCCTGGTGTGATGTAGGTTTCAGAAAAACATTTTCTTTATCGTGCCAACGTTTCGATCTTTATTGAGATCATCTTCAGGGCTCAAAATGTTTTTCTTCTGTGTAATTGTTCCATTCTTGCGTGTCGTGTTAAGAGTGCCCGGGGGCCCTGAAGATGATCTCAATAAAGATCGAAACGTTGGCACGTTCTGAAACCTACATCACACCAGACCGCATCTCACGATTTCCGAATCATCAAGTTACGATAATGTTTACTGAAGAAAATTAACGAAGGTTTATATAAATTAAATAGTTCCACAGTATCAATATTTGCTTAATAATTTGATTACTTTTAAAAATATTTTTCTACAAAACCCCCCAAAAAAGTTATCCTCTTAAATCGTATTAAATATAAATGAAGATTCCTTACAAACATCAGGTAGATGAGAATGAAGGTCCTAACAGATCCTACGAAAGTCGAAAACCCAAATGGGTAGTCGGTCTGTTCAGTTCAACTCACGCTTTACCAGGGAATATCAATTTTTTCGATCACCATGAAGGGGACGGACCTTGTTGACGATTTCCTGGTGACTAGAAAAAGACCTGCATTGTGGAACGTAGAGTGTAGCGATTATGAAAATCGAAATTTCAACAAGTCTTCTTAGGAAAGAGCCGGTTATTTTATTTGGATGAGCAGATGACTCGATGGAAAATGCGAATTACGCTATTGAAGGCTAGTTCACTGTTGGCGGTGTAATATATGGCTAGAAAGATTCCAGTGATTAACTGGACAATTAAAATCTTAATAAGAATCCAAAGTTTCATCAATTAGAAATTCTTGACGGCAAGGTGGGACAATAAGGAGATTGTTTAAAATTGTGATTAGTGGGAGGAGTTTTCGTATAGGTATGTCCATTATCTTTTTGAGAACATTGGTCCTTCTTAGATGTACAAGATCGATGAAATGACGAGTATTACGATTGGTAAAGAATAAGTATAATGCTATTATAATAATTAGTGAAGCTATTTGCATAGAGAAAAGCTTTTCTATTGTGGAGCAATATCATATTTTATATTTCATCTTGCTTTATTAAAACTACAGGTGTTAAGATAAGTAATAGTATGTTTTTATTTCATATTTGAAATTTCTCGTTAGAGGCATATATGAATAATTAATTAATCGTTTTATGTAAGGTTTTGGACGAAATGAAAAAGTTAGTGTCACTAACGGGATTCGAACCCGCAATTTTCGGCTAATACACTGCTGCTCTAACCACTTGAGCTATCGTGTCTTCGATCCACTCGGACACCAACTCCCGATGTGGGTTCGAATCCGGCTCGTGGCACTGACTTTTTCATTTCAACCAAAACCTTACATAAAAAAGTTGATTAATTGAAAGAAGTAATTTGGTCAATCAGGCCACTAAATATAATGGATTTATACGAATAATACTATTGGGTTGTCCGGAAAATAATGCAGGATTTTAAGTTTTCATTAAAAAAAATCTATATAAAATATTCTGTTTACGTTTACAGGATTACTCATTTGTATGAATGTCAACACTTATTAATCCTCTTCCAAATGATATTGTTTGTTTACCTCTGTAGCATTCCGCTACTTGGAAATAATTCAGTCATCCTTATAATGTCAAAGCGAGAATTTCGTACGATTTTCTTTTACGAGTTTAAACTCGGCCGAAGCGGAGCCCAAACGGCTAGAAACATTAACCAAGTCTGGGGCGAGGGTTGTGTTAATGAGTGCACTGTGCAAAGGTGGTTTAAAAAATTTCGGGAGGGAGATTTCAGCCTTGAAGATGAAGAAGGTCGTGGAAGGCCTTCCTCTCTTAATGATGATGTTCTGCGATCAGTGGTGGAAGAAAACCCCAAAACAACTGTTCGAGAACTTGCTGACCACCTCAAGGCGATTGGAAAAGTGAAAAAACTCGAAAATTGGGTTCCACACTCATTAAACGATCGCCAAAAAAATCAGCGCTTTGATGTTTGTGCATCACTTCTTTGTCGAAACAAAAATGACCCATTTCTGGCCAGAATTGTTACATGTGACGAAAAGTGGATTCTCTACGATAACACTAGACGTTCTGGACAGTGGCTCGACAAAGGAGAAGCTCCAAAGCCCCCAACTCATCAAAAAAAGGTAATGGTTACGGTATGGTGGGCTTCATTTGGTTTAATACACTACAGCTTCTTAAATCCTGGCGAAACCATCAATGCTGAATCATACTGTAACCAAATTAATACCATGCATCAGAAATTGGCAGTAATGAAGCCCTCTTTGGTCAATCGGAAAGGGCCCATTTTGTTGCATGACAACGCTCGACCACATGTGTCACGTGTAACGTCACAAAAATTATTGGAGCTTGGCTATGAAACTTTGCCTCACCCACCCTACTCTCCGGACCTCTCGCCTACTGACTACCATTTTTTTAGACACCTGGACCACTACTTACAACACATAATATTCAAAAATCAAACGGAACTGGAAAATGCATTTATTGACTTTATCAATTCTAAAAATTCTGAATTCTACTCAGACGGAATTAATAAGTTACCAACACGTTGGGAGAAATGTATTGAGAGTATGGGAAATTATTTTGATTAAAGAACATTGCTTTAAAGTAACTAGTTTCTTTTTTTTTGTTTAATACCAAAATCCTGCATTATTTTCCGGACAACCCAATAATATTCTTGTTAGTATAATTCTTATTGTAATGTATGAGAATATAAACGAATTAATTAATCCTACTAAAATTCCAATACGGATAGATTGTAAGATAAAGGTAAGTCTTATTCTTAATGGGTGTTTGGATTTTAGGAAGTAAATCGAAATTATAAATATAACAATTATGATAATAATTAATAGGATATGAATATCTTTAATTAAAGGCTCTAAAGGTTTGTCCTATCTATGATATATAAAATCACTCTATTAAAGCATGCAGCGAATTAAATTTCCATTATAGTGTATTTTACTCTTCATCCATTTCATTTCTCCTAAGGATGAAAATTTTATTTTTTAAGTGTTTTACTTTTAGCTGCTATATACCTAGTTTAGGATATAAGATGCTTTTTTATTTCAAGGTTTATGGGATTTTGTGTAGGGTTTATCAGATCACTCGATGATGAGATCAGGTTTATCAGATGACAGTTGAGCAGAAGACTCATGGAAAAAAGAAAATGATGGGTGAGCATTATAAACTAATGAAATACATGTTAAGTTGGCCGGAAAATAATGCAGGTTTATGGTTATAAAATAAATAAATTAAAATTCACTCCATCACGCTCAATACACTTCTCCCAACGTGACGGGTCTTCTTTAGACCCTCTGTATAGAATTTTGGGTCTTTATTATTAAGAAATTCTGTAAACGCATTTTGTAACGACTTTTGAGCAATAATTTTTTTTTTTTGTAAAAAATGGATTCGGTAGGCGAGAGGTCTGGAGTATATGGAGGGTGAAGCCTCATAATCCAACAGACGAATGTTGTGTCAGAATCGGCCTTTTCCGATTTGCAAAAATGGCTACAATTTGAGATCAGCACATTTTGGGATTGTTTCGGTAGGATTCAAGAAGCTGTAGTAAATCAGCCCAAATGTGGCCAACGAGAGTCGCCATCATCTTTTTCCGATGAGTCGGGTCTTTGGAAAATGTAGTGATACTGCCATAGTCCAGAACTTCTGCTGTTATCGTAGAGAATCCACTTTTCACCACAAGTAACAATTCTATCCAGAAATAGTTCGTTTCTGTTTCTGCAAAGAAGTGTTGAGCGAACGTCATAACGATGATTTTTTGGGCAGTCGTTTAATGCTTTTTTTTCGCCTTTCCAATTGCCTTGGTTTTCAGCGACGGTCGATTTGCTAATTGGAAGAATCCCTGCAAGTTCTCGAACGGTTGTTCGAGTTTCTTCGACCAACACCCGGGGAACATCATCATTTGTGGAAGAAATCCTTCCACGATCTCGTCTTCAACGTCTCACTCACACTGCCATCGCCCCAGACTTCATTGATGTTTCTGGTCGTTTAGGAACCGTTCCGACCGAGTTTAAAATTGTAAAACGAAATTACGCGAAAATCAAGCCATGTCAGTTATTGTTAGAAAAGACTGAATTAGTCCCAAGTAAAGAAATGCAATTGAGGTAAACAAATACTTTTGTTTGGAAGAGTTAAAAAGTGTTCACCTCAAAAAATAATAAATCAAACGTGTGGTGATTAGTGACTGTTAATCGATATTTATTTAGAAATCAAACGTAACCAGTTTATAATATAGAGGGGTAATTGAAAGAAAACATAAAAACTGCATGATTTTCCGGACAACCCATTACAATAATACATTAGTAGGTTTTCATAATGTAGCCAAATAAAAAAGAAAAATGAAGGTTTTAATCAAGTATATCCTATAAGTCTGTAGTTAACTCAGTAAATCAATCATCTATGTAATTAAGTGGTAGCTTATAGGTAGAATAAATTCATCATTCAGTCTTGCCGTAGTAATTTTTTTATTTCGTTCAGAAATTAATCTGCTAATTTGTCTCGAATTGTCTTATCAGACAAGTCTAGGTACATTTCCATGTTCAATGCTACTCAATGGTGTTTCATACAGTTTGCCCTCATAATTATACCCACCTCGCAATCTCACATAGTTATGAAGCACATAACAGGCACTTAGGAGCCTATGAAATATGAAAAATGCCAAATGAACATTCAATAAATCTGCGAGCTCTTGATAACGATAAATGAATGTTATTTTTGCATAGGTAGGTGATTTTTTGATATTGTCAGCTATTAGCTTTGGGTTCGGTATGTTTAAATTAAGTTCCATTACTTGCTTTTCTTTTTGTCAGATATGGATGAAAAACTGAATTATAAAAACTTCGTAAGCTTTTCCAAATTTTTATTTTTTACGAAGATGCATTTCGAGGCTTTTTCCGCCTCCTTCTCAGTACATTTTTCTGAAATTTGTATAAATCAACAAATTTTTTGAACCTTAATAATATTTTACACACCAACTCGATCCTTACATTTTGAGTGACAGACGACCAGCTTTTTTTCTCGATGGTAGGTGTATCCAACGCCCCATATGTATTAAGCCAAAAGAGCATCACGGGTCCTAACAAAATAAGATAACTGCGAATATTAGAAAGTAAAAAATTAATGGTTTTAGCCTGAAATCCTTAGATTATCAGAAATATATGAAGAGTGATTTTGAATGAAGATCCGTAAAGGCTTGTGTAGTACAGAAGTTCAGGAAGTAAGTACTAAAGTATGAATTTTAATGAAGACCGTAACCGTCTGACATCTCTAGATCATCAGGAGGATATGAATGTCACTGTAATTTGAATGAATATGAATGAAAATAAAAATATGTTAGTGTTTTGGTGAATGAAAGAAGAACGTATTAGCTATTGAAGTGATCCCATGAAGATTCTGACAGCCTCACATAACAAGAAGATTTGAAATATTTATGGGAATGAAGAACGAAACAGCTTGACATCCCCAGATCATGACGAAGATATTGAAGCATGAATTTAGTGAAGATCTATGTAGTGTTTAGTGACCGTTAGACAATGATTATTTGGAGTTCGTGAGATGCGGTCTGGTGTCTGGTCCCAGGCCCTGAAAATGATCTCAATAAAGATCGAAACGTTGGCACGATAAAGAAAACGCTTTTATAAAACCTACGCACCAGAACGCATCTCCCGATCTCCGAATGAAGTAGTGAAGATCGTAACAGCTTAACATACCTGCAAGATCAATGATAAGGAAGATGTGAAGTATGAATTCTCCTCAAGACCGAAACAGCCTGACATCCTTCGATCAAGATATGAAGAACGAATGTAATGAAGATCCTCATAGCTTCACATACCAACATGTTCCTAAGAGCAAAAGGAAAAAGTGAAGTATTAATGTGAATGAAAACTGCGTGGCATTCCTAGATCAACAGTAAGATATGAAAAATGAAGGTCGTAAAAAAGCTCTCACATCAAGAAAATCCTAGGAGCAATACAGCTTCACATACCAAGAAGGTTCTGGGGCATCAGGAATATTTTAAGTTTATATCTGAGTAAAGATCCTAAAAGGCAAACATATCTAGGATGCGCATCAGGAAGGTGTGAAGTATGAATATGCATCAAGAGGTATTAAGAATGAAATGACTATTGTAACGGCTTAACACACCAAGAAAATAAAAAAAACCTTCAGGAAGATGGGAAATACGAGTATGAATGAAGTTCTAAAAGGCTCATAGCCACAGAAGATCAAGAAGAAACCAGGAAGGTGTGAAGTATGAAGGAAATGAAATTAATAAAAACATGATATACCAAGAAGACCCAAAGTGAATCAGAAAAATGTGAGGGAAGAATGTATGTAAGTGAAGTCCTAATAAAATCAAGTACCAGAAGATTAGGAAGATGTGTGATGTATGAATGTGTATGACGACCGTAAAAGCTTGACATTTCTGATAATTAAGAATTAGGAATATAATACACCAGACAGCATCTCACGATTTCTGAATAATTAATGAATATAATGAAGATCTTCATAAACCAAGAAGAACATACGCATCAGGGAAATGAATGTGAATGAAGATCGTAACGGTCTGACATCCCTAGGTCAACAAGGAGATATGAAGAATGAGTGTGATCGAAGTTGAAGTGAAAGCTCATGAAGAACACTAAACTGAAAAGATGCGATATTGGAAAATGCGTCTCGTAGGTAGACCAACCCAGCGAAGGCAGGCAGACCAGGGCCAATGAAGAACGAATATAATGAAGATCTTATCAGCCTCATATACCAAGGTTAACCTAAACACCAGGGAAATGAATGTGAATGAAGACCGTAACAGCCTGAAATCCTTAGGTCAACAGGAAAATATGAAGAATGAATGTGTTGAGAGTTTCATTGAATGCTCATGAAGAACGATAAACCCAACACTTAAGATGACAACATTCCGAAAAACGTCTGACAGACCAACACCGCGAAGACAGTCAGACCAGGATGATATCGGTATCTTCCAAATTACATTGTCTCAAAATGTGTGGCACTTGTGAGGAATTCTTTCAATCATGTTGATGATTACAGCTCGGATGATTTTTCAATTTTATTTCATGGTATAAACTGTTCCCCTTAATTATGATAAATCAGTCAATTATATTTATGTAAAATAGTTATTCAGATATCGTGAGATGCGGTCGGGTGTGATGTAGGTTTCAGAAAAACATTTTCTTTATCGTGCCAACGTTTCGATCTTTTATTGAGATCATCTTCAGGACCTGGGATTTACAAACAATGTTTACATTTAGCAAATATATTTAACATTTGGAAAAGTGAATTTATACAATCAGAGAACTTTTTTGCACACGTTGGCACGATAAAGAAAATGTTTTTCTGAAACCTACATCACACCCGACCGCATCTCACGATATCTGAATAACTATCGATTAACGGTCACTAATCTCTACACATTTATGTAAAATGAGTTTCCTCATAGACTGGTTAATTGGAAATGAAAAAACTTATATCTATCCAAAATTTTGGGCAGTTTTTTTTTTAAATTGACTTGCTATGCTTACTTAATTAGCCCTAATAATTTGCACGAGGCGAAAGGCGAGATTGCCACTTCGGGGGTAATTTGGAAAACCCCGGTTTTTTGGAAAAGGCATCCCGCTCTCCAGGAAATAAACCGAGTTGGATTCAGTTTAGCGCTCGGTAATTTTGGCTGTCGTGCTGCGTGTGACAAGACGAATTAAAAGCCAACAGGCGTAACAGATCCAATTGCCCTGTTTATGCCCTGTCCGGGCAGAGTTGCTCCTGAGCTTTCACGAAGCACTCCTGCCCGCCTGACCCCCCGTTAATTTGCCCCGAAGAGTTTTGACAATTATGAGATTCCGATGGGACCGCATTCCACTGTATGATTACCCTCGTAAAACAGTTTTACATGGTTGTATGGATTTTTAACCCGAATGGGATGCGAAACTGAAGTAATTTAAACATTCATTTTCTAAACATTTTTTTCGGTAACAAATCTCAAAATGTTGAAGAACATCAGTTAACTGTTGCGGGGTTGTTTTCTAGAATCAAAAGCTACTTTGGGTTTCCTCTGTCTGTTATGGGGTTTCCACATCGAGTGAGACTCCATGCTACAATTTGGATGCCAAAACCCAAACTGAATCCTTCCTATCAAAGAAACGTTTTTCGAATTAGAAAACCGACCAATCTGGTCCGATCGTGCTTTGTATGGGCTTTCATCTGCCTCCTGTGGGATCTTCACCCAGATCGTGGGGACTCCATACCAGAATTTAGATTGCAAAAAGCAAATTGAATCCTTCTGAAACAAGTTTTTTTGCTTTAGAAAACCGACTGCCCAGCAGGTTCGCTGGTACGCCCTTTCTTCCGTATGGGTCGTTCTTGGTCTACTGTAAACTTTTCATCCTGATCGAGGAAGATTATACCGGAATTTGGATGCCAAAACACAAACCGAATCTTTCTAAGAAAAAAAAGAAAACAATTTTTTTTTTCAAATTACAAAACCTACTATTCTGGTCCGGTTGTGCTCGCTTTTTCGAATGGTCTTGTATCTGTCTTCAGTTGGTTTTTCACCAGATTGATGGATACGCCACGCCATATTTTGGATGCCAAAACACAAACTGAATCCTTCTAAGAAAAATCGACTACTTTGGTCCGGTTGCGCTCGGTTTTTTCTTCGTATAAAGTTGCCTCTGTCTTCAGTTGATATTTCACCAGATGGAAAGGAGACGCCATGCCAGAATTTGGATGTCAAAACCCGAACCGATCACCAAAATCTTTGTAAGTAAAAAAAAAGTTTTTCGAATTAGAGAACCGACTGCAACTGCTGTACTAGCTTTTTTCGTACTTAATCCTCTGCAGATTTTTCACCCAGATCGAGGGGATGGTAAAATTTGGATTCCGAAAAGCAAACTGAATCCTTGTAAAAAAGTCTTTGATTTGGAAAACCAATCAACTAGGTTCGCTGGTACGCGCTTTCCTCTGTCTCCTGTAGGTTTTTCATTAAGATCAAAGAAAGTACGCCAGAATTTGTATGCCAAAACACAAACTCACAAGCTGAATCCTTTTAAATAAAAAAGTTTTCCGGTTGAGAAAACTGACCAATCTGGTCCGCTTGCGCTCGCTTTCTATTGTTCGGCTTTTCTGTCTCTCGTGGGGTGTTCATCCAAATCTGAATCCTTTTAAGTAAAACAAGTTTTTCGAATTAGAAAACCGACTACAATGGTTCGGCTGAGCCAACTTTTTTGTATGGCTGTCTTCCGTTGGTTTTACACCCATTCATGGAAAATTTACACAAAATTCTTCAAACATGCAAAAACCCTGATCCGCTTGAACACGCGTTCTCTTGAGCTTCGGCTGTCGAGGGTCTTCACCGGATTTCCACCCATTTCATTGATGATCGGACCTGCCTTGCAAATGTCCAATCTATTCCACAACAGAAGAAAGAAAATTTGATTTTTCTCTTTTAATAAGCAGTTTGTTTCAATACTAGACTTGAATGAAGGAAAAAAATATCTTGAATACTTTACGGGGAGGTGTTCCAAGCTTTCAATTTCTTGTGGGACTTAGTTTAAAAAACCAAGGACGATACGCTTATTACCTTCATATGTTTAATTCCAATCTTAATAAGGGTTTATGTATCTATTTGATTATAATACGGCGTAGTTTAGAAAAAAATCTTGTTGGCGAATATTAGGGAATAAATACACAGCAACAAAAAAATTGCAGTTCATGAAAATGGTTCTACCTGACCTGACCTCCTAAATCCCCCCCATAGAATTTCCCCACCCTTTTAAGACCCCGACAAAGAAGCAAAGACCCCCGGGTGAACAACTGAACTTACCTGTGGAGCTGAGAAAGGTACACGACCGGGACTTTATTATTTGGGGAAAGTCGCGCACTTTTGTACAACATGATATAATACTTTGTTGCTTTGGATCTTCCTTGAAATGAAGAAATTCTTACGAAAGGTTTATGAATCCTGAATGTGTTTTTAATCCTTACAAAAAGCAGGAATCCGTGTGTTGTGGCGTTGTTCGAAAATTAAAACTATTCTCCCGATTCTCTGGCTTTTACGACACTTTTTTTTATCTTACACCTGCCCACAAACTAAATATTAAAAGTTGACGGTCTAAAAGTGACATTGTCGTTATCTCGCGGTTCGAAACTCCAACGAGAGCGTTTAACCCACAATCGTCACAACTATTTCCAATCGGCGAAAGTAGGACAGCCGAATTGCAAAATGCACGCAATCATCTAATTTGTGGAAGAAGCGGGCTCATAAAATAAAAATAAAAAGATGAAACGAGCTACAAGATACCACTAACTCTGCACAAAATATAACATACAGTTAAGATGGCGAAAAACCAATTGAAGTGTAAAATTCTGCAAAATTTTAAATCTAATTAAATACGTAAATTTAACTGTTAATTAATCCACATATGTTTAGCAGTCATAATTGATCTTATTAATTAATTGAAATTAACTGTTAACGTACAATCAACAGATCTTGTGAAATATGTTACGCGCCAAAGTAACAACTAAGTAGTATTAAATTAGAGAAAAAGTACGAAACTTGTGCAAAAAATAAATCTGTACGTGATTTCAAATATGTATTTCCGGAAGAAAAAAATAAAAAATTTGGAAATATTTGTATTTTAATTATTTAAAAATTTCGAATCCCGCTCGTGCCATTGACTTTTTTATCTCAACTAAAAAACCTTAATTGATTGTAATGTATTAATTGGTCAAGCGGACCACGAAATTAGTGAATTTAATGATTAAAAATGAAGTATACTTCACTAAAGCTCTCCGTGGCCATTTCATGTATCGTCGAGAATCCAACCCGATT